CCCCCCCCCCCCCCCCCCCCCACCAATCCCCACCCTTCCCTCTTGTCATCACCTTTAGACAATTCTGCCACTGTTCTAATTAATAAAACCCCTTAAAACGAAATAGGTAATTTACCTCATACATATATAGATCTACATCCCCTTTTTGAAAGAAAGCCACTAAACAAGTAGGTCAGGACTGTAGATTCAATAACCAGTGTGTCACTTTAAAATCCGCGTGTGCGCGCCCATGCGCACGGCCGTATGACACAACGTAGAGTAAAGTACCCGGTTTTCGGCCACTTAAGACAAAATCCTATTTATTGGACTCTTTACTTCCTATTTATTATCATTTCTTGTTCAAATCATGAAGCAAATATTATTATTGTTTAAACAAAAAAGAATCCCCCAAAAAAATCACGAATTGCCATGACAATATTCATTTCAATTTTCACTGTTTTGGAGCCGGTTATCGGCCGAGCGTTTCAGTTTACGGCCGCATGTACAAAGTCAATAGGAAGCGCTCGCGCGCGCTGTGCGTTTCCGCGCTGATGTATAGCACAAGCGGGCGGAGCAGGTATCCCACGCCGGAGCTCCCGGGTGCTCGCCTGACCGAATACAGGCACAGCGGTGATCGGAAGTTGGAATCTAAATAGACAGACATATCGTGTGTGCGTCGCGGTGTGTGCGGCTGCATTGATTTAATACATGCGATGAGATACTTTTGAGCTTGCGACCAGCACAAAATCGGGCTCTATATCTGAAAAATACTTGAAATAAAGCTCATTTTATGGTACCCATATTTCTTACATACACGCGTAAGAAACTCGATTTTTCAGATTTGGGTAGCGGGACCGCCGATTACATCGCTAAAATGTGATATTTAGGATATATTTTTCATTGCAAATGTGGTTCTTCAGTGACACTGGCATGGTATGGTATGTGTGGGATATGTGTTATGCTATTATGCGATGTATTTTAAAGTGATTTTACCATGTATCCAACCAATTGGCCGAAAAAACCGGAGCTGACCGATTACCGGGTACTTTACTCTATGTAGTATAGAGCTAACTGAAGTTAGAAAACCAAATAAATAAAACGCACTAAAGTATAGGATTGCCGGAAAATGTCATACAATCAGATGGTGGTACTTTTTATTTACAATTTTGAGGAAATCTGCTCTCAAAATGAAGATTTCCAGACCCTGTTCGGTTAGTTGTTCGACAAGTTCACATTTTTCGGAAAGGATGCAATTCGCAAATGACTGCAAAATCTGTCTATATTTTCATTATTTCACACCATATTCCAAAGAAAATTTTGTCATCGTGTAATTTGATGTTCATTTTTTCATTGGAGATATCAGATTTTCGAAATCTAAATAGCGAACCAAGAACATGCGCAAACTAGCCTAGTCACACGAACGGTCACACAACCATTATACACAATTTTAGCCTGGTCCCATCCGCTCCTTTTCATGATGTTTTCATAAAACTTGCATTGTCATCATCAGTAGACAGCATTGAACCTTTACTTTCTGAAATCCCTATAATAAACAAAACCATAACGCTCACATTAAATTAAATAATGACTGATTCTTACCAAATCCTGCTCCTTTTCATCTTCGGTCTTCTTGTCATTTTTGTCATTTTGTCACTTTTGGGCTCCGGTTTCTTCTCCTCTTGCTTCGTTGTGTCTGCCATGATGATTTAGAACCGACTTTCAAATTTTGAACGAAAGATGGCGCTACACAAAAGAGCCCAGCTAGAGAGAGAGAGAGAGAGAGAGATCCTTATACTAGACCTACATGCACTTTTTTTTAAACGGATCTCAATGAAAAAGTCGACATGAATAAGCCACTCGACCCTATATAATTGCAAACCTATAGATCTATATAATATCAACCAGAGGCGGCCTCCGGGGGGGGGGGGGGGGGGGTAGTCATCCATGCACTACAAAAGCAAAACATATAAAACGGAACGGGCAAAACAGTATAACTTCCTTTACAGATCAATCCATGAAGCCTCTTAAATAAATAGATAATTCCGTCTTTTCAAAACACTTTTTGGTAGAATTTGAAAAAGATTTAAAGCTTATCTGCCATAGTTTACAGGAGGGATTAGATCGCCCTGCAATGTCACTGGACAGGTGGTTATCTTATCAACCCAGCTCTCAGTTAACATAAGAAAAAGAGGATCATGGGGGACCAATGGTCACCGATTAGGCATTGTTTGTTATATAGAGGGCGCAAGTAGCTACAAGTAGTGCAGTGGGCCTTTAAGCGTACTTTATAAGAAATTTGCTTGTTCACATCCCCCCCCGGTTGACGTTTCCATTGGATTATTAGCTAAACATTTCATACCACTTGATGATTTTTTTTTTTTTTTTTTTTTTTTGGGGGGGGGGGGGGATAATAAAATATGTCAGATACGGAGATATGAGGGAGGTATGTAAATGATGTAGGGAATGATACATTATTAAACTTCAACTTATATAAAATACCAACGCATTTCGATATTTGTACACGGACGGTCAACGCGGGCATCCCAGCGAAAGTTATTTCTAGTATATAGTACTCCAAGAAAATCTGTAACATTTAATTAGGACTTATACGAAGTCCAAATTAAAAGATTTCTCATCAAGTGTGCTATCAATATATATATATTTATATATGTTTATTATGAAATACATACATATCTGAATACATACTAAATTTGGTTTTGTAAGCATACATTTTTATGTCTGACGTTTTATACACCAGAGTCCGGTATTTTTACCTCTGATGCTTTTATCTCTGACATGTTTTACCTCTAGATTTTTATCTTTAGCACATTTAGATTCACGATTATTTCCTTGGCTAAATTATCAACTTCGGCCGACCAAAAATACGGGGAAAAAAATCCCACCCCCCCCAAAAAAAAACACAACAACAACCACATCTGAGGTATAATTCACACTTCAAGTTTTTAAAAAAAATCAGGGCGAATTTCAAACATATCCCTCACTTTAATGCTAACCTGAACTTAGAGTTTTAGAACACACAATATAGTGAATTGATGATTGATGAATAATGTTGCCTGTTAATGTGGAAATGTATTTTTCTCTTGCCTCAAAATCACCTTTTTTGTAAATCAATTCCTTTGAAGTGCATTCCCATGCACTAACTTGGATGAAATAACTTTTGTCAATTAAATTTTTAATTTGTATCATTATTATACCAGCTCTGTGTTCCTCTTTCACACACCCCCTCTCTCTGTGATATGTTGATGAACAAATACCCTATCTTACTTACCTTGTTGGTAATCAATATATTTATAAAGAATAAAAAGAAACGGAACATGAACAAGAATGATCATACCGGGTGATCATAAAGTAACGATTCATTTAAAAAGTGGACGTTCGAAATCTAATTATGTATCTTCACCTTTCTGGTATGTTTGGAGTTTTTCATGATTCTCTTGTATATGATCATTATATTAAATTATTGTTTCATATCTATGTTAATGTGTTGTCATATTTTACAATTTCAAAATCAAAAAAAGGTAAATGAATGTAGAAAAAATAAAATAAACTAAAATTATGTTCGCAAAGTAATACATAGAGGGCAGTAGACTACTTTGCCAGAAAGAAATTATCATCAAAATGGCAGCCACCAGTGCAGAGCTCGAGAAAGATGGACTCCTCACCCAGTTTATTGGCGTTACTGGGGCGAAAGGGAAAGAGCTTCGTTCTTTCTTGAGTCGTCAGGATGGAAGTTGGAGGTAAGATATTGAGATTCTATAATGGAACTTTACTATTGACGGTGTAGATCTAGTCTATGTCGGGAAAGTAACGGGGATATCCAACTCAATTTTAGCGCACTGTCATAACTGAGGCTGAGCTGAGTTGAGTGAGTGATTCTTCGTGAGTGAATCCCGGACAACTCGCCACAAAGACAACCCGCCCCAAGACAACCCGCCCACAATACCCTGGACATCCCGCCACAATACCCTGGACAACCCCGCCACAATACCCTGGACAACTCGCCACAGCCTTTTCGGACAACTCGCCACACTTTTTTCCCCTCATGATTTCTAGATCTAAAATCCCTCATCTTACTTAGACTTAGATGAAATTGTCATTTTTCATGATTTTCGTGCTTTATAAACACAGTTATGACAGGAAACATGGAAATTGTGAGTATTTTGAGAGCTGTTCTAAAGAATAAAGATGATTTTCCTTGCGCTTGCAACAAGAATCTATTTTGGACGAACCCAAGCCAGGCGTACTACGACTACGAGTTACGACTACGATTTTTAAGTTCATGTCTCAGGAAACTTTTTAATGGTAGGAATATGCTGCTATGTATCTTTGGCGTATCTTTACATTCTAATATTACCTGCCCCCCCCCCCATCAGTACGCCAGTGCTTCCAGTATCCTACCATAAAAAAATTCTGGGACAGAAAAATGCAGCTGTTATAGACCTCTAGACTAGATCAAAAGTATATTATTGTTACAAGGGAAATCAACTTTATTCTTTTTAATGACTGTTTATAAAAGCACGAAAATCATGAAAAATGACAATTTCATTTCAATATATATTATTGTTACAATTAGGGAAATCAACTTTATTCTTTATTCTTTGTAATGACTGTGTTTATAAAAGCACGAAAATCATGAAAAATGACAATTTCATTTCATTTTAGATCTAGAAATCATGATGGGAAAAAGTGTGGCGAGTTGTCCGAAAAGGCTGTGGCGAGTTGTCCAGGGTATTGTGGCGGGATGTCCAGGGTATTGTGGCGGGTTGTCTTGGGGCGGGTTGTCTTTGTGGCGAGTTGTCTGGACCCCGACTGAATGAGTCGAGTGTTCATCTGTTCGTGTGAGACTTTGCCTAAACACAAGCGTGTCCATGTTGACGAACAAGTGGTTTCCATAACCATGATTGATGTAGCAATTGGCAAGCAAAGCTATATTATTGGTCCCCATTTGGCCATGTGAACAGAATATTTATAGATTTAGAATAGATCTAGGTCTAGGGTAGAGTGCCCAGTATTCGGTCACTTAAGGGGAAATCACTAATATTTTGAATTCTTACCTCTTTTATTTGGCAATCTACCCATCAAAAGAAAAAAAAAATTATTCCTCTAACAGGATTTTATAGTCACTTAAAATATAGAATGATGATCAGTAGGGGCGCTGGTCCGAGAATGAGGATCGTCCGCATAAACAAGGATATCCTCATAAACAAGGACAAAATGCGTCCTCAAAAATAAGGGTTGTCTGCATTTTCGAGGACGTTTTTTTTCATCAGCGCTCTGGGGGTTTCATGTTACAGAACGGCCTGCTGGCGATGCCAAAAACGGATTCCCTGGGGGAAAATAACCCTAGTTCACCGTCTACTTTTATGGGTTGTCCGTCTTCCCAAGGATTTATTGCTTATAATGTGAAGGTCTCTGTACAATGTCAATGTAAAATACATCAAGAAAATCATTGCAGAATCCGTTTTTTGGATCGCCAATGTGCCGATCTAAAATATGAAACGTCTCCAAAAATGCAGACGGTCCTTATTTTTAAGGACGCATCAGTCCGTGTTTACGAAGACGATCCTCGTTTATGAAGACGATCCTCATTCTCGGACCAGCGCCCCTACTGATGATAAGCAAAATACTTCCGAAAGAAGACGGAGCATTTTTCTGGCCAGAATTCGGTCACGCCAATTAGAATTCGGGCATGCGATTTGTGCGTGGTATCTCCGTTGCAAAGGAGCTAGCGTATTTGCGCACTATTTTCACACAATTGCGCGATAAAGCACTGGATGTCAATGCGTTGACCGAATACTGGCTGAGCGATACCGCATGGCAAGGATATTGTATAAATACCTCTTGCACATCGGCAAGTGCGTCATTTGCAAATTCGCTGCGATGGAGCGAACACGGAAGTGATTCTCTTCACACACATACTAAATTCATTGTGACAGCACACGTAGTTGTTTCGCAATAGACTTCTACATATGGCTATGCATGTTAGCGCATGTGCTAAGAGAACGGGGAAGTGCGGAAAGTTGTGCGACACTGACCAATTTCGAGCTAAGTTGGAGATCTTTCCGGGGCCCTAAATCTGATTTAATTTTGAGAATTAAGAAAAGTTGTTCAGCTGCCTGATTTGTGCAAGTTTCGTGGCTCATAAATTATTTTTTAAATTGTTACAGCTGTTGAAACTGTCTGACCGAATACTGGGAATAGACCGAATACTGGGCGCGCTACCCTAGAGTAAAGGAGCCGGTAATCGGCCAGCTCCAGTTTTCGGCCGATTGGTTGGATGCAAGGTAAAATCCCTCTAAAATACATTGCATAATAGCATAACACATATACCACACATACCATACCATGCCAGTGTCACTGAAGAACCACATTTGCAATGAAAAATATATCCTAAAATATCACATTTTAGCGATGTAATCGGCGGTCCCGCTACCCGAATCTAAAAAATTGAGTATCTTACGCGTGTCTGTAAGAAATATGGGTACCGTAAAATGAGCTTTATTTCAAGTATTTTTCAGATTTAGAGCCCGATTTTGTGCTAGTCGCAAGCTCAAAAGTATCTCATCGCATGTATTAAATCAATGCAGCCGCACACCGCAACGCACACACGATATCTCTGTCCAATTCAGATTCCAATATCCGATCACCGCAGTACTAGTTTTCGGCCTGGCGAGCTCCGGGGAGCTCCGGCGTGGGATATCTGCTCCGCCCGCTAGTGCTATGGATCAGCGCGGAAGCGCACGGCGCGTGCGCGCGCTTCCTATTGACTTTGTACATGCGGCCGAAAACTGGTACGCTATGCCGAAAACTGACTACGAAACAGTGAAAATTGAAATGAATATTGTCATGGCAATTCATGATTTTTTTCTGGGGATTCTTGTTTTGTTTAAATAATAATAATATTTGCTTCATGATTTGAACAAAAAATGATAAAAAATAGGATTTTGTCTTAAGTGGCCGAAAACCGGCTCCTTTACTCTAGTCTAGATCTAGGTCTCTAAAAACCTAAAAATAAAATGCATCTTTATCAAGTTAGGCCTAGAGTCTATCAAATGCCCATTCAACAGAACGGGTTCAATGCTCATGATCAATGCTGGTACTGGTCCAAGTATGAGGATCGTCCAATAATTAAGGATATCCTCGTAAACGTGGACAACTTGCGTCCTAAAATTAAAATAAGGATCATCCAAGTTTTTCGCAGACATTTTTTTTCATCGGCAATCTGCAGGTTTCGAACCATGCGCTGGTGATGCGAAAAACAGATACCACGTAAGAAAATAACCCCAGTTCACCGTCTAGGGTCTACTTTCATGGGTTGTCCGTCTGGCGCTAATAGACCAGTTCACTGTTAGCACCTTACTGCAATGACCCCGAATATCCACAGATCTTCAAAACATGAAGAGGTCCCACTTTGTACATTTTGAAATAATCACTCCTACAGCGATGGAGGTGCTTTATAAATAGCCTTTGTTCCCCCCTTTTCAAAGAATACTTCCACCTGTGTACCATGGAGTGCACTGAATGTGCATGCATGAATAATGTTACATAACTTTCATGAGCACGTATCCAGTATTTCGTCTCCATGTATTTCAAAATTTGTTCTGCAATTACCTTTATCTGCTCATGCTCAGACTGCAACCGTGAACTGGCTTATTGTGGATTTATGACTATCGCTCATAACGTGTACAGAGTCAATGTAAAATGCATCAAGAAAATCATTGGGGAATCTGTTTTTCGCATCACCAACATGCAGATCGGAAATATGAAACGTCCTCGTTTACCTTGACTCGAGCGTGGAGTATATTACATATCTCAAAATCCACAAATCAACTAAATCTTTAACAATTGTTTCAATAATGGACAGCATTTCAAAGTGGTTATCTTTCTTATCTGTTTGGTGTCAATTTTCTTAATTTTTTTCTTAAAACGAAGATATTATAATATACACTTCCTGACAGGTTTCACTACAAATTGCTGCAAATTGTTTGCACTGAAACCTGTGAGAAAGTGTATAAATTTGGATGGGAACCATCACATTTTGAAACATTATCTAAACTGTCCACTCGTGGGCAGATACATGTAGATGGAGTCGGGCTAACTCGGACCAGGGGGCAACTCGGTCCAGCTCTAAAAACTCATTTTTTGCATGTTTAGGTTTAGGGTTAGGTTTAGAGTTACATGTAGAGTTAGAGTTAGGGTAAAATGACAAAGAATGACCGTTTTGCAGCTGGGCCGAGTTGTCCCCTGGTCCGAGTTAGCCCAGATCCATGTAGATACCTCTTAAAAAACTGAAGCACTTGCATTTCATTCTTTGTAATGTTAAAAGACTGCTATATATGCTGTTTTGTATTTGACATTCTGCTGAAAAGATCTAGATGAAACTTCTGTCTTTTTTAGGTAGCCACCTCCCTATAAAGGCCACCTTTCTATAGTGGCAAAGTATGTTGTCTCCTTTAAGAAAGAACTGTGTGTTGTAGACAGTAGAATACCCACCTGTCTACAGCGGCCACTCTGCTTCCCTTGGCTGGCCACAATAGACAGGTTTTACTTAATAAGGTGATATATATGTACATGTACATGTACATGGAGCTAACTCTTCTGCTTTTTATTTTATTTTATTTTTTATTGTTGTCTCTAAGTTGAGGGCTGCAGGCCATCAAGCTACTTTGCTTATTCTGTAGCCCTCCTGCATCTAATGTATATTAATTATGCACTCAATATATTTGTTTAATTTCGTATATTATCTGTATAAAATTATATACACTTGAAATATTGTATCAAACCAAAAAAGATGCAGAAACCAATAAATCAAATTCAAATAAAGTAAAATAATTTTTTTTCCTTCTGATTATTACAGGTAGCGCTAGAGAGTTTCTATGATAACTCAGATGACATGGTTACTGATCCACCAAGCAGAGACCCTCCCTCTGAAAGACAGCCTGAACCCCCTAGGGTTGAACCACCTCCTGCAGCTCAGCCACAGGGAGGAGGCAAAGCTAAAGGATCAGCCCCAAAAGGAAGGTAGGTCTACTCAGGTGGCACTCATTTGTTTTCTTCTGAAGGTTCATTATTCCAAAAGTTTTCAATTCCAAAAGTTTTCAATTCCAAAACAAAATTTACAGTTACCACATTACCACGAGATTCAAGATTCCAAAAATGAAATAAGGTTCATAATTTCAAAAAATTTATTGCGTTATTCCGAAGGTTCATTATTTTGTAATGCCTGATGTATTTGCACTTCACTCAGAACATTTGGCTATCAACCATACACTACCCGTAATGTTTTGTTACTCTTTACTATGTACGATACGAATCTGAATTGTTTTGCATGTTGATGTAAAAGTGGAACAAATACATTTTGAATTTCATACCCAAGCATATTTATTTTATGTGAAAGGCAAATATTAGTCGACCTATTCACGTCAAAATCAAAGACTCAGAATAACTCAGACACAAAACATTTTATTTCTAAAGAGCGTGCCGTGACTTTAATTAATACGGTTAAAAAATACTGGTCTAGAAAGTGAATTAATTACTTGTACCTACTTGCTCCCTATATATAGAAGACTTCCACAATCGGTGACTGTTGGTCCCCCATGACCCTCTTTTTCTTATGTTAATTGAGAGCTGAGTTGATGAGATAACCACCTGTCAGTGACCTCGCAGTCTCGTTGGGTGGTCTAATCCCTTCTGGCCGAACTAGTACAGACGGCCTTCAACTTGATAATTCCACTTTTTTTTGTTCATTGTCAGAGGTGGAAGCAGCAGTCGTGTAGCCACTCTGTCAGTGACCTTGCTGGGTGGTCTAATCCCTTCTGGCCGAACTAGTACAGACGGCCTTCAACTTGATAATTCCACTTTTTTTGTTCATTGTCAGAGGTGGAAGCAGCAGTCGTGTAGCCACTCTGTCAGTGACCTTGCTGGGTGGTCTAATCCCTTCTGGCCGAACTAGTACAGACGGCCTTCAACTTGATAATTCCACTTTTTTTTGTTCATTGTCAGAGGTGGAAGCAGCAGTCGTGTAGCCACTCTGTCAGTGACCTTGCTGGGTGGTCTAATCCCTTCTGGCCGAACTAGTACAGACGGCCTTCAACTTGATAATTGCATTTTTGTTTTCTTTGTCAGAGGAGGAAGCAGCAGTTGTTTAGCCACTCTGGGTGACCTCGCTGGGTGGTCTAATCCCTTCTGGCCGAACTAGTACAGACGGCCTTTAACTTGATAATTGCATTTTTGTTTTCTTTGTCAGAGGAGGAAGCAGCAGTTGTTTAGCCACTCTGGGTGACCTCGCTGGGTGGTCTAATCCCTTCTGGCCGAACTAGTACAGACGGCCTTTAACTTGATAATTGAATTTTTATTTCTTTTCCAGAGGAGGAAGCAGCAGTCGTATAGCCACTCTGGGTGACTATTCATCTAAGAAAGCCAATGATGACAGTGATGAAGAAGGACAAGCCTTCTACGCGGGTGGACCAGAGCATGGCAGGTAAAGTTAAAGGGGAAGCCCACCCTGATATTAAGTTCGATTTGATAGAAGCAAGAAAATGAGAGAAACAGGTCAGATACAGTTCCCAGTGATTTTTTCGTAATGTTCTGCTCCAGGCATGTTGAGCATTTTGGATTAAAATATCAAACTAAACGTCACTCATACGTGAGACAAAACTGCTAACGGTTCAAGGGGAAGTGCACCCTGATATTAAGCTGGTTTTAATAGTAGCAGAAAATGAGAATAGCAGGTCCGGGAAAGTTTGCGCAAACTCTGATTTCAAAAAATAAAAATAGTACACACTGAAGATGAAATCATCTGCTGAAATTTTTAAAGCAATGTACCGGTATATATAAAGTGCCTTGCCAGAATTATTCCTGTTTCAGTTACTTCTCTTCAAAATCTTTGCTTAATATGTGTTTCTTATTTCAGCGTTACATGGACATCGAATTTAAACTTTGGGTCTATAATATTAATTCACCATGCAGCTAGATTACTTGTAAACATAGTTGGCTATGCTTTTTATGCTAAACTCAGTTTGAGCAAACATTGTTTTGGTTGATAGCAGACATCTACAGTTTCTCACTTGTGGTATGTCACAAAATTAGCCTGACCCCATGGAACAACCCTCTAATATTTCTTACCATTCTCATTGTAGCTAGATTACTTGTACACATACATGTAGTTGGCTATGCTTTTCATGCTAAACCCAGTTTGAGCAAACAATGTTTTGGTTGATAGCAGACATCTATAGTTTCCCACTTGTGGTATGTCACAAAGTGACCCCAACCCCATGGAATGATCCTCTAATATTTGATACCATTCTCATTCCAGCGGTCAGCAGGTGGTCGGTCCCAAGAAGAAGAAGGTGGAATCGGACAGTCTCGTCAAAGACATCTTCAAACAGGCTAAAGAGTGAGTAGTACCTATGACATTTGACCTTTGACCTGAGGTCAGCTTGCTTGAACCATCTCTGCTTTCATCCCCCTTTCCATTCCAGTTACAAAGTTCTTGCATGTTTGTATCACCAAGGATTAATTGATGATTCAAATGTTTTTATTTCTCATGCAAAACATAATACAATAAAAAATTATATTACAAAAATATGCAATGAAACGACAAATATAATAGAAAAAGCACAAGAATAGAGGAACTAACTAGAAGCAGAGCTTGTTGAAGTGTTAGTTCCTCAGATGCTGTTTTACAATATAACATGAACAAAGTATGCTTAGAAAATCAATACATTGAAAAAAATATGTAGCTAAGAAATTATAGATTTGTTGGGAAAACAAATAAAACAGGGAAAAATGGAGGAAAATAGTAGAAGGCAAACAGAAAGAAAGAAAGATAGAAAAAGGGAAAATGAATGATTGCAAAAGCTCTAGAAAAAGGAGGTTAGATCAAGAGAATGACGGAGAAAGAGATTGAGTCGAGAGTCAAACGAACTGAGATTCAGGTATATGGGCCCCGACTATAAATATAATATTAATAAACTTATTTGTGATTGATATCAATCGCAACTATGTACATAATAAGAGATAGGAAACTGTAAACTTGCAATTTTTTTGGATCAGTCGCAGCTCTTTATAAGACATAAAGTTAGAAACAAATGTGCTGATGTGTATGTGATGTGTCACGCATTTCAGAGTGATGCAAAATGAATGTTCTGTCAATGGATTTTGGATTGGGGTGACGCAAAAGGGTGACATGACTTAAAAAAGGTTAAGAAACGCTGCTCCAGTACATTAAATATGCAGATGGACTGCCAACCACATTGTAGCCATTCAGGCTTTGAATTGACATGTGAATTGACATTTATTTCCATCATCATGACAATATATACAAAGATGAAATATGGAATTTCATTACAGATAACAATATCAAAATTACGTATAAATTTACATAATCGCATTCAAAAAAAGAAAATATGTAAGTATAAACCATAGTACAAATGGAAGATGGTGCATCCGATGAAGCCAATAAGGCTTGACAATTGAATGCACCAGGCGCAGAAGTAATAATAACATATACTTGGAAGAAGAAAAAAAATGAAAAAAAAATGGAAGTATTTAGTATTAGAGGTGTGGTCTTAAAATAAATTATGCATAATAAAGAAAGAGAAGATGCTTCTTGTAAAGTCTTTAGAATGAATTATTAAATCCGACATACTGTAAAAAAAAGGAGGAAGGGAATTCCGCATTTTAGGACCAACCTAATGGAGAGAATCGGTCAGTATATTGAAAGAAGCATTCTATTGATGGAATTTATCAGCATTTCCTAGTGGATTGTCGATAGAAAATTCAGGAGGATAATTTGAATATATACTGTATGCATTATGTTTCAGGCATGGTGCAGAGGAGGTAGCCGGTGGCAGCCCTTCAACATCCCAGCCAAGAAACACCTCAAGAGCCTTCAGGGGTGCCGGCTACAGACTAGGGGAATCTCCCCAGGAACCTGTGGTACCAGTACCAGGCACCTCTGGTACAATGCCTGGTCCCAAGCCAAGAGAGGTTAGTATAAGTTTCTACTCATAGGGGAGGGGTGTGCTATCAATAACACTGGCTACAGACTAGGGGAATCCCCCCAGGAACCTGTGCTACCGGTACCAGGCACCTCTGGTACAATGCCTGGTCCCAGGCCAAGAGAGGGTAGTAGAAGTTTCTACTCATAGGGGAGGGATGAGCTATCAATAACACTGGGTACAGACAAGGGGAATCCCCCCAGGAACCTGTGGTACCGGTACCAGGCACCTCCGGTACAATGCCTGGTCCCAGGCCAAGAGAGGGTAGTAGAAGTTTCTACTCATAGGGGAGGGATGTGCTATCAATAACACTGGGTACAGACAAGGGGAATCCCCCCAGGAACCTGTGGTACCGGTATAATGCCTGGTCCCAGGCCAAGAGAGGTTAGTAGAAGTTTCTACTCATAGGGGAGGGGTGTGCTATCAATAATACTGGGTACAGACTAGGGGAATCCCCCAGGAACCTGTGGTACCGTTACCAGGCACCTCTGGTACAATGCCTGGTCCAAGGCCAAGAAGGTTAGTATAAGTCTATACTCACAGGTGAGGGCGGGGGGGGGGGGGGGGGGGTTCTATCAATAACACTAGGTACAGAGTAGGGGAATCCCCCACAAATCTACTGTTGTCAACTTTTAATTTCAATACAAAAACTTTGCCTCAGAAATATTCTGCTGTTAATTATGCCAGCCTTTGTCAACAATTTTACCCACTTTTGTATAGAGATCTAATGTTTAACTTTCAAAACATATACGTTTTGTATCCCTCTCCTTTTCTCTCTGTCCTCAGAGAGACATGTAAGATGTAGAAGATTGATTTTAGTATAATGATGATGAACTTTGAGTTTTGTATCTCTTCCTTTCTCTATCCTCACAGAGGCATGTAGTTTTTAAGATGTGGAAGACTGGTTTTAGTTTATTGATGATGAACTTTGAGTTTTGTATCTCTTTCTTTCTCTATCCTCACAGAGGCATGTAGTTTTTAAGATATGGAAGACTGGTTTTAGTTTATTGATGATGAACTTTGAGTTTTACATCCCTCTCTTTATCTCTATCTTCACAGAGACATGTCGTTCTTAAAGCTTATCTGTACTAGTTTATAGGAGGGATTAGACCACCCTGCAAGGTCACTGGACAGGTGGTTATCTCATCAACTCAGCTCTTAATTAACATAAGAAAAAGAGGATCATGGGGGACCAATGGTCACCGTTTAGGCATTGTTTTCATTTAGAGGGAGCAAGTAGCTACAAGTAGGGCAGTGTGGCTTTAAGTTTTGCATCCCTCTCTTTCTTTCTCTATCCTCACAGAGGCATGTAGTTCTTAAGATGTGGAAGACTGGTTTTAGTATTGATGATGGTGAACTCAGAGATTATAGGGAACCACAGAATGATGCCTTCCTCAAAGCTATCATGAAAGGGTAAGTTAGTGCTTCCATTCATTTATTCTTAAAATCGCAGCCCACCACTAACATCCTTTGGTGCGACACTAATCCACATGACGAGAGGTGTCGTGGTCTACTGGATATGTCTCCGTACTGTGGTTTGCGGTTTGAGTTCCGCTGTGGCACTAATCTTTGGCAAGGCATAACTATAAAATTGTTACTCTCAACCCAGGTGTAGTGAATGGGTACCTGACAGCCTGACATGCATGTTTTACTTGAATGCCTTTAGCACCAAAGGGTAGCTGGGCTAAAGCCAGGGTAATATTAATAATGATAATAAATCTAGATTAATAAAGTGCTTAATACAACAGATATTATTCCTTCGGTCATCGTATTCATTCATGTACCTCAAGTGTACACCTTCTCCACTCCCTGGGGAGTATTACTACTACTTTATAGGTTCCTTGAGCATCCCGTGGGATAAATACTTGTGGGATATAAATGTTGATGTTATTATTGTTCTTATGATTTTACACTCTCCACCCAAGTGTGGAATGATTACCTGATAGGATGCAACAGTCATTGTGGCTTGCTCAGCATTGTGAGCATCTTTCAAATGGCATGTGGCTGGAATGCTTCCCAGGGAGTGGAGAATGTGCGTACATTGTGTTCGGGCAAGCCTGAACCCGATGAGCAGGGTAGTAATTATATATGTAAAGTGCTTGACGTTTAAGTCTTATAATATACTGGGTGTTTCAGAAAAAAGGAAATCAAGATTTATGGTTGAATTTGTCAATAATTCCAAATTACTGTTTGTTTAATTTACAAATCATCAAAAGGCTTATTTTCTCTTCTTTCATATTACATTATGAACATGATTTCCTACTAACTCTTTCTCTTTCTTTCTCTATCTTTCTTTCTTGCTCTATCTTTCTCTTTCTTGCTTTATCTCTCTCTTCATTGCTCTATCTCTCTTTCTTGCTCTCTTGATCTCTCTCTCTTCCTCTATCTCTCTCTTTCTCTCCCTCTCTCCAGGGAGATCCCAGATGAGCTGCTGCAGCTGGGGAAGGGAGGTGAGGTGAGCCTAGATCTAGAAGATCATCGGAGTGAGGAGTTCAGTAGACCCAAGCAGAGCACCAAAGCTTTCACTGGACATGGTGTTATGTTGGGCAGGTAAGGACCTTGGGGGGTGTTTCACAAAACTTGTCATCAGTGACAAATGACAGTTTTTGTTATAAGCTACTGAAATCCTTGCTTCTGATTGGTTATCAGCAGATTTGTCACTGATATTTGTCATTTGTCATTGGCTTTGTGAAATGGTTCCTTGGAACTGTGTGGGAGTGTCGTGGCCAAGTGGTTTAGAGGGCTTGACTGGAGATGCGAAGGTCGAGGGTTCGAATCCCGACACGGCACTAATATCCTTTGGCAAGACATTAACCTGCACTTGCTACTCTTCACCCAGGTGTTAAGTAGGTACCCGGTAGGATGCGACCATCTCTGTTGGTCAAACAGTTTTTGAGCGTCATGTAACGCCTGCCTGGAATGCTCCTTAGGGAGTGGAGATTGGGCACACAGTGTGTGCGGGCAAGCACTGAATCCAATGACCTGAGTAATAGTACATATGTAAAGCGCTTAGAGACATGCGCTATATAAGCGGAATATTACTATTATCATTATTATTATAACTAATCCTAAGCAATCTATTTGTAGAGTTTCTCTAGACACATTGTTATGTTAAGTGGGTAAGGTCTTTTTCCCATTAAGACCCAAGAATATCTCATTTTCTGGTAAACCTCTCCTTTTTCAAGCTCAATTACATTCTGTCATGTTTTATATTCCAATGTCAAATTTCAGTTTGTATCCTTCTCATGTATTTGATGTACACTAAACTGAATTTTATATGGAGTTTCATTTCTTCTTTTGCTCTTGATATAAAGTAAGGGGTCATTCAAATATGACGTTATAAACTGCCGCAATTTATTTTGAAATGTGTAAATGTATGGCAACTGCCGGCAACATAGAGCCTGCAAGTTTTCACTGAGCTATATGTTATAAGATACAGAAATATAAAACGTATTACACTTTACATCACCGTTAAAATTGCTGCAGTTTTACCACATCATATCTGAATAGGGCAAAATGTGCACTTGTTTATATTGGTGTCGAAATTGATAATGATAATATTGGATATTTCTATAGTGCACATATCCACCACAGAAGTTGCTTAGTGCTCTCCAATATTACCCCGGCTCTGCTCGGACACCGATATCAGTCCTCACAGCTTTCAAGGAATTTCTTTCTACTGGTACCTACTGGAAAATGTGCATTAAAGCCTATCTGCACTAGCTTGGCCTGGGGGATTAGACCTCCCTGCAAGGTCACTGACAGGTGGTTATGTCATCAAATCAGCTCTCAATTAAAATAAGAAAAAGAGGATCATAGGGGACCAACAGGCACTGATTAGGCATTGTTTTCTACATAGAGGGCTATAAGTAGTGCTGTGGGGTTTTAAAAGTGTTGAATAATCACAACAATACTTTCAAAATATTTTGTTTGTGCCTCTCCCAGTCCCACACCGACCATGAACCCAGGAGCGCCTAGTGTGCAGTCCCAAGGGACTCCATCACAACAGTCATCGGGTGCAACACCAACCTCGGCAGCTTCGATAGATGTGGACCCTAACCAACCCACTACAACACTGCAGCTTAGATTAGCAGATGGTTCCAGGTAGGTCAAGAAACGCGCATTTACCCAAGGTAGCCACATTGGTATTAAAGAGAGTGTAGCATGACAAGACTATGTGTCTTTCCCGCGGCCTGACTCGGGGCCAATCGGGTACAATACGACTACAGAAGACGTGACCACGGCAATCACATGCGTGCAACATACGCAAAACCGAAGCGTGGAGAGGACTTCGGTCTGTTTCGCAAACGCTGACCATGTAGAGATTAAGTCGCTGACTTCCGTTAATTGAGTCCATTCGTTTACATGCAGTTGTCCAAAAGGAGCTGAGATGGTGTTAACCAGTATTTGTCATGCTACACTCCCTTTATTACTTGTGAGGCACAATGGCTCAGTGGTAGAGCAGTGGTCTCGTAACCGGGAAGTCCGGGTTCAAAACCAATTTGATGCGCCAGTGCCCCTTTGGTAAGGCATTTATCGTCATTACAAAGTCCCTCGGAGAGGATTAAAATCCGTCTGTCCCCTGGTTGCTTATTTACAAGCAAACAAATGCTTTCATAGAAGTCAGTTAAAAGAAACAAACCAACCAATACTTCTCTGACTTCCTGTGGGCCCTGCAATTATTGTTATTACTCCATCAATTGCCAGGCACCCGTATAAACCTGGGTGGAGAGTGGCAGATGGTACCAATCGGAAGGAATTCCTTGAATGGTGTTGAATGATTCCTTGAATCGCTAGCCTAGCTCCCAATAGGGTTACAGTAGGGACTTTTAGATTTGCGTGGACTGATACGTGGTACTTCCATTCACGGCAGTGCTTTAAAAGGACGTCGATCGTAGCATAGACCTATTGTCTTCGTGCGAATCTAAAAGTCCCTATTGAAGCGTCTTGACTACCTTGCATGGCAGATATGTTCTATATGTTCTTTATTTACTTCAGAGAACCGCATGAAAATCAGAATATCGACACTCTTGCATGTACTCTATGAATTTGACAGGATAATGTTGTTAGATATAAGTTGACTTGTACATGTAGTGGTTATCACTATAGAAATACATTCTAATGTGGAACAATATATAGTAGAAATATGGTATTTTGCCAACCTAAATGTTTGCTTTCATTGATTTATATGTGTGAGAATGAACCCAAGGTATGTACAGTCAAACCTGCTTTAGCAACCACCTGTATAGAAAGACCACCTATCTATAGATACCACATTCTTTGTTCCCTTTGAACATGGATTATTATTAAAACATGTACTACAGGAACCTGTAATTGAAGACCACCTGCCTTTAAAGGCCTTTTTAATGAATTTCTTTCCTTCTATTTCTTTCTTTCTCAGACTTACAGGAAAATTCAACCACAGTCACACAGTCGGAGATATCAGGAATTTCGTCACTGCGTATCCTTTCTTTTCATTAATATTTTTCACTTTACTGCATTATTTATATTGCCATAACTTCAGTGAATATGCCTCTTGTATCAAAGGGGAAGTCCAACCTGATATCGAGCTGGTTTCATAAAAGCAAACAAAATGAGAAGAACTGATCAGTAAAAGTGTGGGGAAAATGCAATAAAAGACCTGAATTTTAAGACTGCCTAAAGTTGTAGTAGATCAAATACAAATCGGCAAACCCTTGATATAGTTTTAAAGGTCCTCTGCTATTTCCTCTGTACTAAAATATATCAGCTTCCAATATCTCTACACCAAATAGTTATTTATCAATTTACTTTTAATTCGATTTTTATTTTTGTGTACACAACTATTTTATGAACCAGATCTAATCCTGTTGGTAACTGTTTTAGATTTCCCATCACACTATCTTGAATCCAGGTGTTCCAAAATGTGTATATCGACTTTTACATTATTATTTACGTTCATTTTAGCTGCCAAATAAGTAAGTTATGATGCCTTTCAAGGCACTTTGAAGAAAAACAGAAAGTAAAGATATTTGTGTACAAAATAAACAGGGGAGTTGACTGTGGCTGCGTCATAATCTACAAACCAAATTGTCATTTTGAGTCAATATACGGTAGATTTAGTAATCTCATACGGGTATTTCAATCATTCTTGACTCACTTGTTTTTTGGGTCGTTTTATTTAGAACTCTCGCCATTCTGTTTCTTCCATATTCCTGCTTTCACACATGCAATATGGTTTTTGGCACCAGTCATTTTGATAGCATGGGTTTGAATCCCACCGCTGCAATAATAATAATAATAATAATAATCTTTTAAGGTCCACTCCAAATTTTATTAAGTTAAACTGAAAATGGAAATTCTTTTTGCCCAATTGATCGCGAGCCCGGCAGCCACTGAGCAGCGCCAGATCGACGTTGCTCTATCCCCTTATTGTTCAACGGCAAACAAGGTAGCAGCAACACCCGTCTTTTAACGTCTTTTGGTATGACGCGGCCGTGGGGTGTGGTGTCGTGTGGCTGTATTACTTAATGAAAATAACACACATACTTTAATAGCTTTGAATCCAGCACAGCATGGTCGTATTTGATCATGTATCACATGTGTAAGGTCACATACATTTTATATCACATCTATAACATCCCATATCACAATACAAATGTACCAATTACAAGGTCGGTTAGCTTTTTATTCTGTTTCAGATTATTTTACAAGAAACTCTGGCCTTATTTTAGTTCCCCTTTTCTCATTTTCGACTGTTGAATTTGGTGTCTCTGATACTGTTTACATGTATGATTGCATGTCATTTTTTGTATAATGTATACTATTGTAATGATCTATTGTTTTATATGAAGTTGGAAATAAATAACCAAATGAATGAAAAAGATGTCCTTAACTTTGAGTTTCACCATCAGATCAAGACCCCAGTATAGCGGACAATCCTTCAACCTCTTGACAACATTTCCAAATAAGACTCTCACCGACACCAGCCAGACGATAGAGGGCGCCAAACTAATGAATGCGGTCATCGTCCAACGGTTGACGTAGCTTTTGGTTTATTTATTATTTGTGCTTTAGTTCACGTTTTTGTCTCTGGAGAGACGATGTGCATGTTTTGTTGTATTAGAATTTCAAACATATAGATATGTTATGGTGTCATGAAATGATAACAAACTTGTTTTCAAATTCATTTTTATACATAGCCAGCAAGAGGGGTATTATCGTGTAGGATTAACTACATTTCTTACCCCAATGCCTACAGGAACAGGGTCGTTTCTGTACTAAGCCTATAGGAATGAGACCGGTCAATAGACAGTGGGTTCAGGCTCGTTCAGATTTGATGCAGTTAACCACATTTTTGTTTTTTCGTAGTTTTTTTATGAGTCAGCTTGTACTCCCTCACATCTTAGTATCTTATTAAATTTACACAGAAAAGGAGTATGTGAATTATGTTCCTTTTCACCTGTGCGACCTTTGACCGTTGACCAGTTTACTCAAAATCTGATCAGAGCATCTTCCTATATGGTGATACATACTATCACCAAGTTTGAGCCTCGTATTTGCCTCTGTCAGATGTGAAAAGTCCTTAATTATTCTAATGCCCACAATACATTACACGATCCTCCTGCCATCAAATTTTTGAAGACATGGCAATTTTGCTTCAAAGAGATGTCGTCGGTACTTGAGTGGTTTAAGCTCTTAACTGGAAATGCAAAGGTTGTGGGTTCGATCCATCTTTTGAAAGAGGCCTTTGTGGAAGTTCCTGCCATATGCCCCTCTCATTATAAAGAACAATGTCATAACAAACCCTTATTGTTTAAGGTAGATAAGATGGTATACTCGTTTTGTATTCCCCTGGTGTAATAAGGTTTACAGACAAGAAGTTAAGAAGTCACTTTGAAAACACAGTCAACTCTGCGTAAGTCGACTGTCTACTTAGGGATAGTCGAGTTCTGTTTTCAGACCACAAATGCCTTCAAAGTGCCTGGTTATTGCTCTTATTCTTATCTATGACATTACTAGTGCCCTTTTAGAACCTAAAATTGCTATGAAGGTGATTTTAGACCCATAATGTATGAAATTTAGCCAATTCAATCATACCAATTCAGCTCTACTTTCAAAAAAATATGGTGACCGTTAATTAATTATTTAATTAGAAATAACAATACATGGGCCGACTGGTTGTGCATAATATAACCAACACGAAAATGCCAACAAAAACCCGCTAAAAGGCGCTATTTCGTTTTTTTCAACAGCTTTTTCAAATTATCTAATATTTGTGGTGGTACACAAGTATTATAAATCATTATATTTATGGATATTTCAGCCGTCTCTGAACCAATTTTGATCAAACAAAGATGATTTTGTCAATTAGATTGTATATTCTTTCAAATTTGACACTCAGTTTTTCATTATCTCACAAAAAATTATTTTGTGTAGCGCCCTCTTCAACAGAACTCAACTATCCCTTTAAAGTCCACTGTCCTTATATTCTATTGTTTTACACTTTATATAAGTCAAATTTCTATTAAGTCCAAGCTATTTCTGTGGACTTAGGCAGAGTTGACTGTATTTTCTTCATACGATGTTTCTTTGAAAAATATTTTTGTCCAGTCTGTATATATACATGTGTTACCTTTCCACTGTACAATGATTCTTTACACAATGTTTCTTTATACAAATTTCATTTAAATGTCTTATATTCAGAACAGACTTTCACATGGAGATTTCACATTGATTTACAGTAGCTATATCAAGCACACGAAGGTCGTGAAAATATGTATTGTTTTTTTTCCCTCTAAACGTACACAAATTTCATTCAAGTAGACTAAAAAAATATAATCAGAAATATTCATTTATAGTAGACCATTGATTGATGAAAATTGTGTCAGTCGCATGACTGTGTGAAATGTTAAGAAATAAATGTCAATTGAAATACAATATATAAGCAATTTTTTTCTTCTTTAGCATGTGCTCGACACTTCAGACACTTAAAGCACATGACATAATGTGAAATGTTCAAAAATAAATGTCAAATGAAATATAAGTCCATGATATCTGATTCACTTTATTTTGTTTCTCAATCATACAAATACAAAACAAACAATGATATATAACAATGAGATTTAGTGTGATTAAGAAAAAGTTAAAAGCTGCTAAAAAAATTCTGATGGTGTTCCTCTTTAGTCTTGATATTTTAATCCATGCCATGTTTCCCAACAATTCGTATAGTATGATGCTGTTATTATACAGTGCGTTCCAGAAAAAACGAAACCGAGAATTATCGATGTTTTATCATAACTTAATCACAATTATAATTAATAAATGACACATATTTGGAAAGCTTAGACCCTCCTCTTTCATTTGATGCAACTCATATAATGCATGAGTGATTTAAATGAATTTGAAGAGAGGAAACCAAAAATTCAATTGGCGGACGGTATCTGAATTTCAAAGAGAAAATCACATTTCTAGAAAGTTGAGTTTCTGCCCTTTCATATGACACCTCAATAAGGAAAAATGAACTAGGAATAACCAAGTTCTGTTTGTTTAAAGTAGTGCTTGCATTTCCATAATTTCACTAAACGAATTAACAAAAGACTTAACTCCGTTTCGTTAACAATCAGCCGTAGACGAAAAACTTCATGCATGACTGAAAGAGCGGAAACTCAACTTTCTAGAAATGTAATTTTCTCTTTGAAATTCAGATACCGTCCGCCAAATGAATTTTTGGTTTCCTCTCTTCAAATTCATTTAAATCTCTCATGCGTGAAATATGCATTATATGAGTTGCATCAAATGAAAGAGGAGAGTCTAAGCTTTCCAAATATGTGTCATTTATTGATGATAAATGTGACTAAGTTATGATAAAACATCGATAGTTCTCGGTTTCGTTTGTTCTGGGACGCACTCTACAAATTGTGGTTCAATTTCAATGGTTCAATAAAATTCTGCAAGCGAAATGACATAACATGCGTTATTCAACCTCATTTTTGGCCTCATAACCATTTTGGAGTAGTTCTATTGGATTAATAGATTAAACAGATACTCCAATATATCATATGAAAAAGGGTATATGTTAGAGAGCATCTCATTGGCTTAGAAGCTATCACATGACACTGATTATTTTGGTATGCACTTTATTTTACATTAAAATCTCGTATAAAATATGGTATTTGTTAGAGAGCATCTCATTGGCTTAGAAGCTATCACATGACACTGATCATTTTGTTATACACTTTATTTTACATTAAAATCTCATGTGAAATATGGTATTTGTTAGAGAGCATCACATTGGCTTAGAAGTTATCACATGACACTGATTATTTTGTTATACACTTTATTTTACATTAAAATCTCGTATAAATTATGGCATTTGTTAGAGAACATCTCATTGGCTTAAAAGCTATCACATGACACTGATCATTTTGTTATACACTTTATTTTACATTAAAATCTCGTATAAAATATGGCATTTGTTAGAGAACATCTCATTGGCTTAGAAGCTTTCACATGACACTGATCATTTTGTTATACACTTTATTTTACATTAAAGGTGAAATTCAAAGAAAATCAAAAATATGTCAACTACTGTATCACTAGAAACTGGTAAGCTAACAGATGTCCATCGTACAAGTTTGAGGTCAACTACATATCGGGTGATTTATAAATATACAAATACAACCCCCTCCATAGCAGCTGGGATATACGAGAGATTCGCCGGAAAAATAATGATGTTTTAATGACGTCACTATATGGACCAATACTGCCCAAGCAGACGACATCCCATAAAGAATGAACATAATTGCAAAGCTATTATTTCTCAAATTATAATGAGTTTAGTGTATATAAATGTAATGGCATGTCAAACCATTCAAAAGGGGATATGACCCGATTCTGATAACTTTTTTTTTTGCTTGTAAATACAAAGGATAGGGGTTAATTAACAATCAAAGAAACCAGACTTTCAAATTGTAAAACCCCCGGAATGATATTGAGGACGGCATGTGTTCCCTCTTGAACCGCCGAACAGCGCGGTGTGTGCAGCTGAATATACAATGGCGTCTTATTTTGTTTACAAGCGACAGATTCCTTTATTTTTGTATCGCTGCATTTTTCATCAAAATAAAACCATGCGCGGGGTTTAGAGTGAGGCAATATATTATATAGTTAACCTGTCGGTAGTGAAGAAAGAGAAAGAACTCAAGAGAAGATGAGAAAACAGGCACTGAAAATGTGTGAGATGTCATGGGACATCGTCTGCTTGTGCAAATCATGTCCATACCGTGATCTCACACATCTCAGCAGCTTTCGGAGAGCTCTTCAGGTGCTATGCCGGGGCTGTATTTAAGCGTTTTGTAATTTATAATAATCATTACTTCGAATGTTTCCAAGCATTGAATTCTGTTAACCTTGTCGAATCAAAGTTTCAACTTTGCAATAATGAAAATGACTTTAGTTTTTAAAATCAATGAATATCTACTTTAAAATCTCGTATAAAATATGGCATTTGTTAGAGAGCATTTTATCGGTTGAGAAGCTACCGCATGCTATTGGATTAATGGATTAAACAGATACTCTGATATATCATATGAAAAAAGGGTATATGTTAGAGAGCATCTTATTGGCTTAGAAGCTTTCACATGACTCCTTCTCTCTCTCTATATATCTACATAATCTTCCCTTCTATCTCCCTCTCTTCTGTTTATCAATTATTTTCCGCTTTCACTGCCATACCCCCAACCCCTAATATTTTTTGTGTGTAATTTAACAGACCCATAATTTCAAACTTTATTTAACTCTTCTTTCTGATTGCCTCTAATATTGAAATCTCTAATGAGACGTTACCATGACAAACATTTAGATTTGGAAGACTTGTTTCAAGCATAAAGCCAATTTTTAATAGACAAAGATTTTCATTACCAATGGAAAATTTCCTGATAACTTCACCATACAATGAAGATATTCATGTATAAAGCCAATTTGAAATAGACTAAGATTTTCATAACCAACAGAAAATGTTCTGATAACTTCACCATACAATGAATATATTCAAGATTTCTTTCTTCTCAATTTGGTACTGTCAAACTGATTAATGTCTTGTCGAATATCCCCCAAATGAGCTAGCAATGCATTATGTGAAAAGTTGATGTTATTGTTTTCACGAAAATTTTGGTTAACTGCATTCTGGGTAAAGATTGAGAGTGCCTTTTCATAATCATTATCTAGCAAACTATTTATATATTTCCAGGGTTATCAATAATACTTGGTATAGAATACGGTCTTGATGGAAGTGCTAGCGTCATATTCGCTCGTCGTACAAATTACTAGTTCTCCATCAAAGAGCCTGTGTTCATCTTGAAATCATTCAAGCAACGAGCTGGAACAGGGCAAATTCAGTGGTTGGCGCTGGTGTGATCACCGCGCCATTGTTTAGCTCAAAATTGTTTGGAACAAGCAACCTTGACAACTTGCCATTATGACGTCATACTTTGGTACTCCATACAGCTATTTTCACGCCTGTGTAGGCGCTATTTGAAATTTATCAAAATCTACCGGAGCACCCGGGTAATATTTATATTCAATTTTTCTCGAAAGCAGAAGTGTTTCAGGGGCTAAATGTTCTAGTGCTTATAATACATCCACAGGGGCATCCAAATATATCAAAATTGTAAAGAATCACTATCCACCCAGTTTTTAAAAGTTCCCAAAACTTTGTAGTACCTTTAATTTGTATTTATTTACCACACACCAACAATAACAAACATGCAAAAAAACTCATGCAATAATTCAAATGATATAGTACACTTCATGATAGAATAAAAGAAGAATGTCCCTCCCCCGAAAAACAAACAAACCCACACTGAAAAAAAAAGAGACAAAACAACAACTAGACATTGAAAATCATCACGAAGACGAATTAGGTGATCTGCCGCACTGATCGAAACAACGCATGTAGGAACTCCATGGGAGATTTGATCTATTAAAAAAGAAACCCATATTCCATTTATATTCCACGCATAATGTACAGTCCATCATGACGCGCGCATGAACATGGGTGTGACCAGAAGCTTACCCATGACGTTAAAGTGACTCGGTAACATTGTTGAAGGTTGAT